TAAAGAAGCCAAAAACACAGGTTTGCACAATGCATCCTGGAGCATTAGGCTGCATCTGTACACGTGCATACTGCATCTATATGATCATCATTATGGTCAGTAAATAACAGAATCATAAGCGGAGAACGATTTCGGTCAAAATTACTCACCAAACACAATTGTTACCAAAGTAGCGCTAGAGTGATAAGCCATTCATGCTGTTTACACGATTTGGGATGGTAATTTTTAATGGCTAGTGCCTCGGCGTATTTCAGAACCTTGGTGTTGTTTGTGTTGTAGAGGATTTTGAATGCGTCGCGCAGCATGACACAGTGTTTCATTCCGACCAGGTGTTGTGTGATCGACGAACTGAGTTCCCTACGCGTCATTGGTGACCCCATAAGTCCGACGTTCTCACTCATTGGTTTCTGAAACCAGACCCGCGATGTGCTCGGTTACTCGGTAACGCAGTTGTCTCTCCTTTCTGCCGATGTAGATGACCGAGCATCCACACTTGAACTGATAGATACAATTAGATTTGGTGTGAGGGGACAGCGGTTCTTTCACCGATGGCGCTACCCTGGTAACAGATGTGTTTGGTGAGTAATTTTGACCGCAATCGTTCTCCGCCTATGATTCTGTTATTTACTGACCATATAATAATGATCATACAGACTGCAGTATGCGCGTGTACAGGTGCAGCTAAATGATCCAGGATACATTGTGCAAATCTGTGTTTTTGGCGTCTATTCAGATACCAGATTGTTTTACTTTGCAGCGACTGAAGAGATTAAAAGAAATGTTAACATCTGGCAGTACTTGTTTCCTCTTTATTCTAACGAATTGGATAAAGGGGACCCAATGTTTGAAGTCTATAGTGTATGCGAACCAGAAAAAATAATCGTTTTAAATTCCGGAATAAACCCATTGTAGGAAGAGAAAGCGACGACTTGTTTTGAATGATTCATAGTTGTCATCCCGAACGGTACATCGAGAGAATCCTTCAGGAAAGACCAAGATTAAAAGAGATTCATGAGGTTCAGAAGAAATTATCCACTTGTCTACCTTTTCAAAGAAAAGCCATATGTGACTTCTTGCAATAATGTCTAACGTGTGCCGTGAAATGAACCTATAACACTGCCAGATCATCGTATGCCTTCACACTATCGCGAACGACCTTTAAACCCCGGGGTGAAATGTTTCCCCACTAATAGCAAATCTTTATATAACCTCTACTTTCTCCAGTTTCAGTTATCAGTTTTTAAAACCATTAATCA